AAAGACTGCGCTGCTTGGCTGAAGTCAGTCATGGCAAAAGGAGGTAACAATATAGTTTCATTTGTAAATGAATCCTTGTATACATAGTTTTCAAAATCCACTTGGTGGATTGATTCAGGAGAAACTGTTCATATTGCAAATTCTTTACAGGGATTCCATTCGACGCGAACTACGCTAAGAAGCGAAAGACGCATTGAAGTGGCAAACGGAGTTGAAGCAGAAGTTGAAGTTGTCGGTGATATCTCCTTGGAGTTAGCTGGCGGATTCAAACTTCTACTTAGAGATGTTTTATTTGTTCCATCATGTCATAGAAACTTAATTAGTGTTTCTTGTTTGGACAAAGATAATTATGAATGTCATTTTAGACATGGCAAGTGTGCCATTTGGTATAATAATGCTTATGTGGGTGATGCTTTACTACACGATGAGCTTTATTTGTTATCACTTCGTGAAAAAGTTTATTCCATTTGCAATGTGAAAGAAAATGTTTCCGCGTCAAATAAAGAGCAAAAGAAAAGAAAAAGAACATTTGACTCATCGAAATTATGGCACTGTCGCTTGGGCCATATTTCGAAGGGGAGAATAGAAAGATTAGTCAAAAGTGAAATTCTTCCTCCGATAGAATTTTCAGACTTAGAACAATGCATAGATTGCGTTAAAGGAAAGTACGTAAAACAAATAAAAAAAGGTGCAATCCATAGCACATGCACACTAGAAATCATCCACACTGATATTTGTGGACCATTTTCGGTGAAAAGTGTGGATGGATATGACTCGTTCATAACATTCACAGATGATTACTCTCGCTATGGATATATTTATCCAATCAAAGAAAGATCTGAAGTGTTGGATAAATTTAAAATATTCAAAGCTGAAGTTGAAAATCAGCATGATAAAAGAATAAAGATAGTTAGGTCCGACCGTGGGGGAGAGTACTACGGTCGGCACACTCCATATGGCCAAGTCCCTGGACCATTTGCAATGTTCTTGCAGGAGACTGGCATAGTTGCCCAGTATTCAATGCCGGGTGAACCTCAACAAAATGGAGTAGCTGAAAGGCGCAACCGTACACTTATGAATATGGTGCGCAGCATGATGAGTTTATTCCAACTTGCCATTGGAATTATGGATGGAAGCGCTTAAAACCGCCATTCACATTCTCAATAGAGTACCAAGCAAGTCGGTGCCCAAAACACCGTACGAGCTATGGACAGGAAGAGTGCCATCCCTACAACACTTCAGGGTGTGGGGGTGCCCTGCTGAGGCCAAAATGTTTAATCCAAACATTGGAAAGTTAGATCCCAAAACAGTGAGTTGCCACTTCATTGGCTATCCAGACAAATCAAAGGGTTTTTGTTTCTACTGCCCAGACAGATATATAAAGTTTGTAGAAACGAGACATGCAGTCTTCTTAGAGGACGAAATGATGAGGGGGAGCTTGGTAGCTCGGAAAATTGATCTTGAGGAGAAGAGGGTGCATGCACCTAATCCGATGATTCAGGAGCCATTTTTCTCACTACCAGCTGCAACTCCACTCATGACAACTATGGGGGCAGACCCGGAACCTGTCCGTCAGGAGCCGACTGAACCCGTTGTTGAGCATGAAAGGAAGGTGCGGCAGCAAATTTTAGAAGAAGTGCCAGAAGTTGAGGCACATAATGTGCCAGAAACTGAGGCCCTTAGAAGGTCTACAAGACCAAGAAAGTCAGCTATTTCTACTGACTTTAAAGTTTATAACACAGAAATGGTTCATATGGAAAAAGATCCCACCTCATATGAAGAAGCCATGAGAAGCCCTCATTCATCGATGTGGATGAAGGCAATGGAAGACGAGATGAAATCAATGAGTTCCAAAGATGTTTGGGATTTAGAGGAAATTCCTAAAGGAGCCAAATCAGTAGGCTGCAAATGGGTCTACAAAATTAAGTATGACTCTAAAGGGAATATAGAAAAATATAAAGCACAACTCGTGGCAAAAGGATTTACACAAAGAGAAGGGAGAGATTACAAAGAGACATTTTCTCCGGTCTCATGTAAGGATTCCTTCAGGATCATAATGGCATTAGTTGCTCATTTTGATTTAGAGTTACATCAAATGGATGTAAAGACGGCATTTCTCAACGGAGATTTAAAAGAAAATGTCTACATGAAACAACCCAAGGGTTTTATCATGGAAGGCAAGGAAAATATGGGATGCCGCCTAAAGAAATCCATTTATGGATTAAAGCAAGCCTCTAGGCAGTGGTATTTAAAGTTTAATCAAACGATTAAAAGTTTTGGATTTAAAGAAAATATTGAGGATAACTGCATTTATGCAAAGTTTAAAAATGGGAAATATATTTTCCTAATCTTGTATGTGGATGACATTCTGCTTGCTAGCAGTGATGTTAGTCTACTACAAGAAACAAAGAAGTTCTTATCCTCGAATTTTGACATAATAGATCTTGGTGAAGCGTTATATGTTTTGGGCATAGAAATTCACCGAGATAGAAACAATGGAGTCTTAGGACTATCGCAGAAAGCATATTTAGAAAAGGTTCTTAAAAAGTATAATATGCATGTGAGTAAAGCCACACCTGCTCCTATAGTTAAGGGCGATAGTTTTGGGAAATTCCAATGTCCCAAAAACCAGTACGAGATCGATCAAATGAAAGGAGTACCATATGCTTCGGCAGTTGGCAGCTTGCAGTATGCACAAGTGTGCACTCGCCCTGACTTAGCCTTTATCACCGGGGTACTCGGTAGATATCAAGAGAATCCAGGCATAGAGCACTGGAAGATGGTAAAGAAAGCATTGCGTTATGCGCAAGGCACGAAGGACTACATGCTAACATACATGAGATCTGATTCCCTAGAGATAAAAGGGTATTCAGAAGCAAATTTTGCGGGGGACAAAGATGATAGAAAATCCACGTCAAGATACATATTCACCCTCGCTGGGGGAGCTATTTCGTGGAAAAGCTCCAAACAGTCGACAGTTGCATCATCCACGATGTATGCAGAATTCATAGCATGCTTCGAAGCCATGGGGCAGGCGATATGGCTAAAGAAATTTGTACCCGACTTGAAAGTGGTAGATTGTATTCACAAACCACTAAAGATGTACTGGGACAATCAGCCCGTGGTATTTTACGCTCACAACAACAAGTCGAGTAATGCTGCCAAAACAATAGAGATAAAGTATTATGTTGTGAAAGATAAAATCCAGGATCAAACTATAAGTCTCGAGCATATAAAGACAAAAGATATGCTTGCGGATCCACTAACGAAAGGCTTACCACCCAATGTGTTCAAGGAACACTTAGCCGGCATGGATTTAAGGGAAAGCCTTATGATTCCTGGATATGCCCAAAAGGAACAGAATTTGTTTCTGAACAAAACGTATGTTGTAGCTGAATGATTCTATCGGCAATTGAGCTGTGACGATGAAACAAGCTCTGTGTACCAATATGTGATGAAACAAATAAACTAGAAAGTATAAAGTTAAAAGTAAAGTTGAGATCAAGGGGGAGAATGTTAGGTTGATCTCTCTCCCGTTCGAACCCAACGGGTCGAACGGGCCCCTGACTCGCGCCCTGATCGGGGGCGCCCAACCAAACCATGGCTGGTGGGCCCCCGTGACCGGCGCTATATAAACAGAGGTGGGGGGCGGGGCACGACTTATGAGGTTAATCGTTGCCACAATCCCCACCGACACTCCCTTCCGATCTAGGGTTAGCGCGGCGCTCACGGGAAGCTCCACCACCGTCGTCATCTCTCTGCCATCACCGGCCCCTACTTCACCATGGCCGGCGCTGGATCGAGTTCGTCTGCACCAGCAGAAGGTAGGTGTACCGGAAAGATCTAGCCTACACGATCCAAGTGGGTCTATCAAGAAGCATACATAATAAGTTGAGAATAGGACGATAATGGTCACATGGAACTGGCAGACATAGAGCTTTGGGTATTGTACTCTGTTTTTTCTTATCTTTTGATTTTTTTTTTGGTTGCAAAATTGTGGTCTGTCCCGTCATTGTAAAGGGTTGTCCTGCTATGTTTTTCCTTGTGTTTCCCCACCTATATTTTGTTTAAATATCACGTATTATTGCTAGCTAGTTGTGATTCAATACAATCAAAATTGGCAAGTGTTTACCACAATCGTTATTAACCTTAAAATCGGAGATATTCTCCTTGCATTGGTCGACTTGGTGCTCCTAATTACCCATCATATGAGCTTCAAAGAGACCACCTTCTCAAATGGAATGCACATCAACTTGTAATGCTTTACGTGCTTTTCTATCAATACCCTGTTTTTTTGTTTAATTTCTTTGTCTTCTCTACAGATGTGATTGATATGCAGCTCGGGACGGGACCCAAGACGTCAAATCTTTATCACTGATGGAGAGTATGGGTTTATACTCACACCTGATATATCTCTCACCAACTAATAATTACACTTAATAGTGGATAGTAACATCCTGACAGGAAGGACGCTACCGTTATGCTACATCAGTGAAAAATAATAATAATAAAATACGCAGGGGCACTAGCTATCAGACTAGCCACAATGGATTGGTAGTAACATAGACTCTGAAATGAAAGGAGGCATGTCGACGTATCAATCTCTGAAATGAAAGTCGCATTGGAAAGGTATACTGCCATCGCTGCTTTAACACGCTGAGTCCCCTACCATTGATGCTCACCAGCACAACTAACTTCCATTTTACACAACAGCGTACAGATAAACAGAACCGGTCTCATATTTAACTGGATTACAGAATTCAGGGAATATAGTGCCACGAGTGCTTCCAACTGAATTTAATTATACGAACAATCATCAAGCCGTTGCAACAACAAAAGCAGATCAAGCTAGAAAAGCCTTTTGGCCATGAGTCGTGGCGAAAAAGCACAAAGCAGAACTAACCACTTTCTCTTGAGAAGTGCTCCGACCGAGACTGCCATTCAATAAACTGCCTCTAATGCCTTCAGAACCCCACACAAAGAATCTCACAAGGAAAACACTACACTATCCTTGAAACATGTTCATCCCTTATTTTAGTATTCCTCAGGAAGTGGATTGTGGCAAGTGATTCGATGCCCCCCCTGACTTGCTTCTCCACCCAACACCTCTGCTTGCTCGTCTCCGGGAACCTTGTCCGCTTTAGAGGTTTCACGTGTCGGCACTTTGGACATGTCAGTCTATCATACAGGTACACATCCCCTAGATTCACCGCTGCTTTCATGACACGCCTGACATGACTCACCATGTGTTCATCAGACTGAAAACAGAAGATGATGAGTTTGCTCAGACGGTGGTGCCTGAAATTCGATGCAGGTGATTCCCACTCAACACCTTTGTCCTCGCTATACAACTTGGCCCTCCTCTTCTCCTGATCCATTTGCATTTCACAAGGATGGTCCATTACCTACATACCACCATAGGACAAAGGTAGACGAAACAGGTTAATTTTGCAGGCAGACATTTGTGCTAAGTGAAAGTACAGGCGTGCAACCATGCAATGGAGATAACAGAGAAACCCCTAAAACAGAGGAGAAAAATAGAACAAGCCGTTGGTAAGAACATACAGTCGGGTAGTAGAGTCACCCCTCAGAAAAAAGAAACAAATAATAATAGAACAAGGTTTCGATAAGAACATACCGTCATGTAGAACTCCTCTAGGGACGGCACCGCTTCCAAAATGAACATTGTCCAGGTGAGATCATACCCTTCAGGAATGTCAACTAGATTGACAATCCTTAGTTGGTGGAACACAGATGCCAGCCTTTTGGTCAGACACTCTGGTTGAACCCAAATCTGCAACGATAAGCACATGATAGGATGAGTAGGAGTAGAACAAGTCAAGACAGAACAAAGCAATCATCCCAACTTACCTTTTCGCATTTAAACCCCAACCTCAGGTCTCGAACAGAGGTCTCATGAAGAAATGTACTTAACTTGACCATTTCATGCCAACTAAGACCAACATTTGAAACACTCAGAACATCAAGCAATGGGACATAGCCAAATGACAGTGGCGGTTCTTTGAAAGACATCCAAAACTCAAACACCATACGGGTTAGCTTCGGAACCCAGTCGACTTTGACCATGTCAAAACGACAATTGACAATACTGAGCTCACTGAGTTCTGCGTGTTCAATTTGGAGCGTTATCCAACTCTCTGTGTCGCAATTGAGAAAACCTAAATGTTTTAATCTCTTGCAAGTGACAAGGATGTTGCAGACGAAGTCCGATTCAGCGAATCTTAAATTCTCCAGGTAGAGGCGCGTGAGACCAGCAAATGTATTCGTACACTCATTAAAAAATGAAACAAACCGTGCCCCGTATTTCATCAAATCATCAATTGTGCACTCTAGGCGTTCCTTCTCTGTCAGAACTGTGAATTCGGCCTTCTCAACCTTGAATGTTACCATGGCACTGCCAACAGCATGCCCAACTGATATGGGTGCATCGTCTCTCAAGTAGAACGTCATGCTCAAGAGGCGAATGGGCCATCCACCCGGATCCCTGCGTGCCAGTATGCTCTTTGTCGCTTTGGCCACAGCTCTATTGGCCACAGCTTTGGCTGCATCGGCCAAGGCTTTGGCCACAGCTGCATTGGTCCTCTGAACCAATTCAGCTTTGGACACTGTTGCATTAGCCAAATCTTTGGCCACAGCTGCAGTGGTTTTCCGAACCAATTCAGCATTGGAAATGCTGGTTTTAGTTTCTGAGGGCAGGAGGTCACGAGCACTGATTGTAAGCCGCGGGACCATGCCAGGAAGCTGACTCCACCGTCTCGAGAGGACACTGGTTCTCGCAGCGGCGCAAACATCGAGTCGGTCGAGAATGTTGACCAGGATGTCATTTGGCAAGCTGCTGATCCTATCGTCTGGATTGCCTTTCTGCATTTGGCACTCAAACAAATCAGAGTTGATATCATTACCGTACAGTCAAATATGCAATATTGATAAGTCTCAAAAATGCAAGTTTTAATTGTCTCAGAGAGCATATGTTGTCTACTGTCACAAAGATGCAGCTTTGATCAAGTTAAGATAACAGAAATTTTATTTCGATAGGCTCAAAGATGCGATTTGGATGCTGTGTGAAAGACTGAAATTTGACCCCTGGTTCCTAAGGACACCCCCCCATGGCTCCCTCGTAGTTCTGCTGATGACAATTTATTATACTTCCCCACAGAAGGGAGCAAATTTGATTATACAGGCATTATAGTTTCCAACAAAAAGAACAATTTTTTGATATGTTCCCACTACCTTTTATTATTACTTGTTGTGAGAAATACTTACAACATATCAAAAACTACTACGTAGTACAATCAGGACTAGTATTTTTTTTTTTTGCTGGTAATGTTATAAGAAAAAGGATTTGGAGGACCAACTCACCAGCTCGTCGAGGGAGGACAGCTCGTCGAGGGAGGATTCCGCCTTGACCGATGGTTTGGCCATCAATTTGGCAGCCCGTCGCCGGCGACTAGTCCTCGCCATCGCCCGAGTTGCCGCCGGTCAGTCTGAAAACTGATGTGTAAGGAGTTGAAGCTGCGCGTCGTCTCCGAAGATTGGCGGGTGCCGCCAGGGCAGATAAATATATATATATATATATATACAGGCTGCTGGATTCGAAAGAGGGTCTGTTTCTGATTGTAATCCGGAAAGGACTGTTTTGATTCCGGATTAGCCACTAAAAAAGGGAGCTGCTTCGATTGCGGATTGCGGCTCGGAGTAGAGCCGCTTGATTGCTTCGGTTGCCGGTCGCAGCTCGGAAAGGAGTTGCTGCTGCTGCTGCTGCTGCTTGGATTGGGGGCTGCAGCTCCGAAAGGGGGAGCTGCTTATTTGGGCGCCTCTGCTCAAGCACAGGTGGATCCTCATTCGAGGCATCCGACGGCGACGGCGACGGCGAGATGGTGGAGATGGGCGCACGGCAGGCGGCGGCGCATTACTGACACCCGATCCCCTTTCCTCTCTTGTGGAAGGAACCCTAGGGCCTGGTCGGAGGGGGCGGCGTGGCTGGGAAGATCACCATTTTATCCTGCGGCCTGCGGTGGAGAGGGATGATGGCGCCGATGGGCTGAAGGCCCAACTTGCGATTGCAAATTTTGCACGGGAGTGGTGGCTCCAATTTGGCGCGCAGGTCGCCACCAGGAGCTCCTATTTATTTATTTATTTATTTATTTATTTATTTTGAGGGATAAGTTCCATTCTATTCACTAAAATCCACATGAGGTCAGATACAAGTTAGATCATAAGTGTGGACCAGCCATAAGTGACGCCCTTGATCAAGCGAATGCTATTATCAAGCTAAACTATGAGCTTCGGAGCAAGTGTTCTCAAATCAAAGACTCGAGAGAGATAGGCTTCCACCGCTCCCACCGCTTCCGCCGCTAGCCACCCGGCTTCGGCGTCCACCGCTTCGCGTCGGTGGCCGCTCCGGCCCCGCCGCCCACCTCCAGCCATGCGCTCCCCCTCCCCTCCGACCGAGGGTCGCTCGCGCTCCGACCGCTGGCTCGACTCGAGCCCCTCCTCTACCGGGACCGCCGACGCAAGACCGGCGTCCTACCTCGAGGCCCTCCGCAGCTCCCCTGCCTCCCCAACGACGGCCGGCTCGCCGCCCTCGCCGCCACCTGCGCGCCCCCTCCTATGCTCCGAGATCTGTCGGGTCACGGAGGCGGATGGCCCCGACGGCTGGCACCTTGCGCGTGGCCGCAAGCGCCCCCGCCCCTTCCGACCGCGGCGCCCTCGCCGGGGTCCTGCCGACGCGCCCCATCGACCGCCGTCGTGGCTCTGGGAGGAGGAGTGCCCCAGGTGCTTCAGCACCAGCCACCCGCACTCGGAGTGCCGCAGGGACATCCGTTGCGGCCGCTGCCGCTGCTTCGGGCACAAGGTCCGCGAGTGCACCATGCCGCGTGCCGCCGTGCCCTCCTCCTCCTCCTCCCATGGAGCCTCGCCCCCTCCGCTTCGTCGCCGTGTTTTCCCTTCTGGGACCGGCATCCCCCTCGCCCCTGAGTGCTCCGCTCCATCCAGCTCACGCCCTGCTGCCTCGAGTCCTGGTGGTCGTCCCGCGTCCTTCGGGTCAACTGTCGCGGGGCCGCCGTGCTCTGGTGGGTCTGCACCTGCGTCCTCCGGGTCGCAGCCCGCCCTTGCTTCGCCGGCGACCTCCGCTTCTGCCGCGTCCACCCCACTCTCCGGCCACCCTGCGCGCCGCCCCGCCGGCGCCATCTGCTACCTCCCCCGGACCGCGGAGCTTGTTGCGGCAGAGCGGGATCTCGAGCGCGCGCTGCTCGCCACGGTCGCTAGACGCCGCTCTGGTGTGTCCAGGGAGGCTGTCTTCGACGCGTTGCGCGCACGCTATGGCCTTGATGCGCATGAGTTCTCCGTCCACACCCACGCCACTGACGATTTCCTCGTCAAGTTCTCCTCCGCCGCCTCGCGCGCGCGTGTTGCTGCCGGTGGCCTTCGCACCGGCAACTTCCGCCTGATCTTCACCCCCTGGAGCCTCTCCCGCGATGCTGTCCCGGTGAGGGCGCGTTTCCTCGTCTCTGTTGAGATCAAGGTCATCCCCGACCATGCTTGGCACCGGGCTTCTGCCGAGTTCCTCCTCTCGCCATTCTGCCAGGTGGAGAATCTGGCCCCAGAGACCAGGAATGCGTCCGACATGTCCGTCTTTCGCCTGACCGCCTGGACCACCAACCCGGACAGCATACCGCGCACCTCGGAGCTCCTCGTGTCGGAGCACGACGCCGTTGAGAAGGATGCCGATCCTACGTCCGCAGAGCATCTCTCGCTTGGTCTGACGCGTTTTCCCGTCGAGATCCATGTCTGGAGCTGCGTCGACTACCGCCGCCCCTCTCCGCCGCCTCCCCCTCGCCCGACGACGGGGCCGGTGACTGCGACGCCCCCTGGCTCACCCCCTGTTCCCGGTCCCTGGCCGCGCATTCATGAGTTTCCTGAGCGTCCCCCCGGCGCGTCTTCCCGCCGGACCTCAGGTCGCACTCCCTGCCGGCGCCGGCGCAGGCATGCTCTCCCTCCTTGTTACGACCGGCAGGGCATTCTGAGGCCATACCCCGCGGCCACTGCGGCCACGCCCCGGGTTCGCGCTACGCTCCGCCTCGGCGCCCCATCGTCACTGCCGGCCTCGCCGGCGTGTGCTCCGGTGACTTCTCACGCGCCTGCATCGGATCCCTCAGATGCGCGGGACCCAGTCGTGCCCAGTCCTGCTCATCCTGCGCTTCTGGAAAGCGCCGCCGCCCAGGCTTTCGACACCGCTGCTGACGCCACTACGACCGCTTTGACGGTCTTCCTTCAGCCACGGTCGCCGACAGCCTGCCCAGGCCCGCGATCCCATGACGCCAGCAGTGATTCCTTCGCCAACGACCTTGTTGTCGAGCGCGTCTACCCGCTCCAGGACAACGGACACACATCCGTCTAGCCTCGGTCCTCCCCTGACCGGCACCTGTCACCCTCCCCCTGCCATGGACGGCAACATGCATGCTGGGCCTCTGATGCCTGGGCCCGGGCCCGCCGCGCCTGCGCGCCTGATCCTCGCGCCTTCCGAGGGAGATCTCATGCATGCCCACACTGATCCCATAGCTGATTCGTTGGTGGACCCTAGCTCCTCATTCGCTACCCCCACCGGAGATCCCGAGGCGGATCCGAGGCCCACGCCTGCTCCATGCGCCACGCCTGGCGCCTCCCTATTGGCCGGGGCCGTTCCGCCCATGCAGCTGCACCATGCAGGCTCCGCAACGCCTGATCTCCGCACCTTCGTTTGCGCCATGCAAACGCAGATCGACCACGTTCTCCCCATGCCTGCGCCACGTCGACGCCGCAACGAGGTGCCACCCGACTTCACTCCGAGGAGAAGCGGGCGAATCGCCAAGGCCGATCGTGGCTTAGACTCCGAGATGAAGGCCAAGCACATGCTTCTCCGGCGCCTAGGCCTGGTCAAGGACGATGCCCCAATGGACGAAGCCACTCTTTCCAAGTATGCGGCTCTGTTCGACCGCCCGCTGGCTGCCGATATCATCCAGGCCTTTGCCGACTTCTACGGTTGGCGTGTTCCATCTGCGGAATGCAGCTCTTCCCCGCAGCGCACCGGAAGCCCCCGCCTAGTGGAGATCTGATCGGCCTGGCCATTGCGCCTGTGCCTAGCGCCCCCCCACCTTCCCATGGATGGAAACCTTAAGATCATTTTTTGGAATGTCCGAGGCCTAAACTCTTGTGCTAAACGTTCTGCAGTCCGTAGCGTTATTTCCTCCGCTGCCCCTTGCATCGTCTGCCTCCAGGAAACGAAACTCGCTCACATGTCTGACTCTCTAGTGTTGGAAACCCTGGGCGCCCCCTTCCTCGACTTCTATTTCCTTCCCGCGGATGGCACTCGCGGAAGCATCTTGCTTGCTTGGCGCTGCGACATGATCTCACTCTCCAGGCCTACCATTGGTAACCATCACGTCTCTGCCCTCGTCTCCCCACTTGTCGGGGATCAGCACTGGTGGCTTACGGGTGTCTACGGCCCGCAGGGCGATGACGAGAAAATCGCCTTTCTTGGCGAGTTGCACGAGTTTCGCGACACATGTGCCGGCCCTTGGCTCGTTGGAGGAGACTTCAACATGATCACCTCCGCTGCCGATAAGAACAACAACAGGCTGAACCACCGAACTATGAGTCATTTTCGCCGATTCATCGCCGACCTCGAGCTTCGTGACATCTATATCCACGGCCGCCGATACACTTGGTCCAACGAGCAGGAGAACCCCACCCTCGTCCGCAACGATCGTGTGCTCTGCAGCTCGAGCTGGGATGTTGCACAACCCCAATGTCTTCTGCGCTGTCTCTCCTCGATGGTGTCCGATCACTCCCCTCTCTTCCTGGACTGCACAGCACACAACAACCAGGCCAAGCCCTTCCACTTTGAGCGGTTCTGGCCGAAGCTCAACAGCTACCTGGACGTGGTTTCTGATGCTTGGAACTCCACCCCGCCGCACCCCGATCCATTCCGGCGCCTGTACGCTCGCCTCAAGATTACCGCTCGGCGCTTGCGGAGCTGGGTCTCGAAATCCTTGGGAGGCATTTCTTTGCAGCTCACGGTCGCTCGCGAGCTAGTCGCTCGCTTCGACGAGGCACAGGACCGGCGCCCGCTCACGGCACCGGAGGCCTGGCTGCGGCGCCGCCTGAAATGTGCCTACCTCGGCCTCGCCTCCCTCGACCGGACGATCTCACGCCAGCACTCTAGATACTCATGGCTGCGGAATGGTGAAACCAGCTCAGCCTTCCTCCGGATCCAGGCCTCTCGACGCCTCCACAAGAAGAGGATCCTCGAGCTTCATCATGATGGGCAGCTCCTCCTCGACGATGAGGCCATGGCAGCTGCGACATTCTCCCACTTCACCCAACTGCTTGGTTCCACGGATGAGCGTGACTTCACCCTCGACCTTGACATGCTTGGGGTGCCCACTTCTGACCTCTGCGGCCTTGATGCGCCATTCACCAAG